ATTAAAAATACAAATTAATTGTTTTAATAATTAAATAATTTAAATTATAACATTAATTATGTAACAAACTTAAAATTATACGTTTAACTAAAAATGTAATTTAATTTTAAATTTTCTTTTTATAAATTATATAGTATTTATTATTTTTTATATTATAATATAATTATTAACTTATAACTTAATTTATTTTAAAATATATAAGCAAATTAAAATTCTAAAAGAATGTTGGGTCCCTGCGAGTTTACTGAAACCCACAAAATTTGATTAAGATGAAAATAAATTTTAAAAATATAAGTTTTTATCTTTAAAATTCAAATTCGAATTTGTCCCACCTTTCATGAAAATAAAAAAAATAAAAAAAATAAAAAACTCGTTCCAACTTATTTTATTATCATCCTTAATTTTATCTTAAAGTATTTAAAATTTTTAAGATATTAAATTATTTCATTAAAATCTTTCATCCAAATACAATCTAAATCTAAAGTATAATGAATAACATATAACCCTTCTCGTCTTATATTTTATTGAGTACTACACTTCTACAATTTGTTTATTATTGAATCTAATTAATCCTATGTGACATCTCCACTTACACTACGTTTGGTAGTGTTCAAATAGCAAAGAAATTAAAGGAAGAATAGGGAAATATATGAGAAATAAAAATGACACTTTGTTTGGTATAAAAAAATCATATAAAAAAGATAAAAAGGTGTGGCCCACATTGTTTTATCTCTTCACAAATACGTGAAAATCAACAATAGATTATTAAATCCACATTGTATTTGAATATATGTTACTTGCTATCAAATAAATCGATTTTTTATACTAAAATCGTATTGTATTCGAATACACATTTTCCTTGAAATATTTTTCTATTCGAATACATGGTATTCGATTACGTAATTATTTCATTCGATTAAATATATTTTTTATTCGATGACATTTATTACGAAAAATTCTTATTTGAATAAGAAGTTTTCTTATTAATTTTTTTTTAAGAATTATTTACTTTGTAGTTGTTTATTTTATTTTAAAATATTATCTATCTAGTTATATGATTTTTTATTTAATTGATTAAAATAAAAAATAATTAATAAAAATTCATTTTAAATTTTTATTTCTGTTTTGCTCTATTTATTTATTTATTTCTCTCTTATTCTCATCTATTTCTTACTTATCTTTTTTCAACTAAATAATCAAATTTTTACTAATTTATTATCTATTTTCACTCATCTATTACTTTTTTTTCCTTTTTTTTTTTCTCTCTACCAAACAGGGTTAGTAACATTACTAAAATCAGCTTCATTGTATGGATTGTTTGCCTGAAAATTGGTCTAACCATTCCTTGTGTCAATTATATTACGGATAAAACGGGGAGTTGAAATATCTTTGAACAACTTTTAATCAACTTGTCTCCAAATAAATACTCACCACATATTGGATTTGTCCAATAATCTGTCCCTTGAAAATATTTTCTGACCAACGACAATTCCAAGATAGATGGTCATTTTGTTTCGAGTTTACATTTACTTTTCTATACGAAACTATTCAAGTGTCAAGCGTCAAGGTCGACGCACTTTATTTCTCACAGATTTTATTTTTATTTTATGTAACTTTCTCACTAAACCATTAGCAAAATCTTGAATGCATATTTTTCTTTCTTGTTTGTTTTATGTGAATATTTAGTTACGTGTTAGGAGTGCAAATTAAATTTTTATTGCTAGCTTTAAAATACTCTATCTATAGATCATGTTGATGAATTAAAAAAAAAAAAAAAATACACAATCATGAAAGCGCAACACATCAATTTTAAGCAAATGCAAAGTACATATGCATTAGAAGAAGAAAAAACTGAAGCAAGCACAACTAATATATGGCTGATTAATGGCTCAAGTCTTAACAAAGAAAAATTTAGAAGATATGATAAAAGAAAGGCTTACTGTGGCAACCCATGAAGGCTTATTAATTATTTGGCAAAGGCAAGTAGTTGATTATTGAGTAGAAAGAGGTGGTTTAGTAATGAGGATTTGCCAGAAGGTAACTTTCAACAAGCTTTACGATGCCTTCAACCTTGGCTTGGTTAGCCTTAAGGTCGTCCTCACTAAGGGTAGCATCGCCTTTGGTGTAAAGTTTGGCATGTGCCTTCCTAATGCATCCTCCATTTGGCCCTTCCACCACTTGGCTCTCAAATGACACCTTCTCCAATTTCTCAGGTAACCCTGTGCCCTCAATTATGCTGAAGTTGTATACAAAACTTGCCTCATCAATTGCATCAACTCTGTGCAGCATCTCACCTGCACCCATAATATTATTCGTTTATTAAATTCACGAGGGAGTGTTCCAAAGAGTTCACTCTCAAACACATGAACTGTTGTCATTCAATATTTATAAATAAATACTTAGATAATCACTTTCAATATTATACCTATTTCTAATTAATCCTAATCATAGATAGTTTATAAAAATTAATCTCTTATTATGATACGTACGTGCATGTTTGAATCTGTGGTCGAAATCTACGTTTTCTATAAATGGAATTGACATTAAAATAATTCAAAAACAAGTATTTTTAAATTGAAGTAATTAAGAGGTAGCTAGCATGCATTAATTAATTCACTAACCGTCAACGGTGGTCATCTTCTTGATGGTGCCAGGAGCACCAGTTCCCTCTATGAATACAACACTTTGGATGGAATCCACAATCTTTGGGAAGAGGTTATGGAAATCTGATGCCATGGCTTTGAAAAGCCTTGCAGGAGGAACAGCAGCAGGAGTATAAAATTCCTGAGTAAAAACACCCATTTTGATAACACAAAGGCTTCTGAGAAATTAATGTTAATGTGGGTTGCTGCTGTGTGGCTTCCCAAGTGAAGAGTGTGGACATTATAAAGCACTCCATGGGGTTCTCTCGGTTGACTATATTGTCTAGAACATCCTGTAACTTCAGGACAATATAATAAATAAAGACCAATTGCATCTAAGTTTTTTTAAAATTAAACATGGATTATATAAATAAAAAAAACATATCTATAATTTTAATGAAATTAATATATGTGAATAAGATTTTAACAATTTTTTAAAAATAAGTATTAATTTTTTTCTTTTAAAAAACTCTTATGTTATCTTTTATTATCAACAAAATATGTTCTTAAAATTTTCACATTGTACATCAATTAAAGATAAAAACACACAATTTACTAAGACTTCCTTTAATTTAGTATATAAAAATGTAATCCTCTTTTACGTTTTATATTTTTTATATAGGAAAAATTGTATTTCTTAACTCAAATACTCAGACAATGTTAAAGATTTAGAATTTGTGGTTAATTAATTAAAAATTGATAATAAAAAAAAATATCAATACATTCTCTAACACACTCTAATTTGTTGAAATTTATTGAAAAACACAAAAAATTTAGTGAGCTTTATATCATATTTAATATCTCTTTTTTATGATTTTGTAATTATATATAAGTTATAATTAACAAGATTAGATATATTAAGAGAAGTATATTAAAAAATGTGTTACTAGTAGGGGTGGACAAAAAAAAATTTAACTAGTAGTGAACTGAATTAAACTGCGCTATAAAAAATTGAATTATTTATAAAAATAAAAAAAATTGAACTAAACTGAACTATTTAAAAAAAAAAGTGAATTAAATTGAAATGTTTAAAAACTTAAATGTTCTTAACTATAAAAATTAAGAGTGGATAAAAACAACTGAACTAAATTGGTGGTGAAGTGAATTGAATTACACTATAAAAATTTGAATTGTTTATAAAAAATTGAACTAAACTATTTAAAAAAATTTGAATTGAATTGTTTGAAAGCTGAATTGTGCTGATATATAGAAATTAAATTGAATTGAATTATAAAAATTAAACTATTTTTATGAAAGAGTAAAAATTAAAGGTGTCTAACATATTTTATTTAAATGAGTTGGTTCAATAGTTCAACGACCTAGACTTCAAAAAAAAATTATCCAAAAAAATTGTGTCAATTTTAACTAGCCAATCAGATTATGTTGGACGACTAATTTTTAGGCTTAAAATTTACTGACTTTATTTGACTTGATTTTATATTTTTTTTGTCCCTTGAAAATTTTAAATAAAATAAAAAATGAAATAAATCTAGCAAATGTGTCCTATCTAATAGACCAACAAGTAAAAATTATTCAATTCAAAATATCATAATAATTCAGTACAATTTAAATTGTAATTTAGTTCAAAATTTTATAATGTATTTTAATTCAGTTTGATAATAAAAAAAAAGCAGTACATTTCAATTGTTTTAACTAAGGTAAATAGACAAAGTATTTTTAAGATCAGTATAATTTTTATAAATTTAATTTAGTTTAATTTAATTTGTCCACCTGCTAGTGATCTTCAACTAAAAAACTAACATTAAAAAGATATTTTGTTTTCCAAAAATTAGAAATATATTTTTAATTTAGGGCCATGTGAGTAGGAAAATTGACCATTTTCCTGACCTTTACGGCCATCTGTGGCACTACCCATGTGTGCTGGTTAGGTGAAGAATGTGAGGTTGGTGGGTGTTGTGTCTTAATTCCTCTGGCATTGGAATAATTTTTTTTTTTTTTTAGTAAACATCCACTTAAAACTTTTTAATCTGCAGAATTAATATTCTAAAAAATTAATATGCCCTTAAATACCAATATTCTAAAGAATTAATATGCAGAATTTTTTTGAAAACTAAAATAAAATTAAAAAATGTCTAAATATATTTTTAATAAAAATTTTCTATTTCTAATTCTTAAACTGACGTGTTAATTTTTTTTGAAGAGATTAAAGTCGTACTCATTAGTCAAAGATGGCGGCTTTTCAATAATGCACGTTTTAACAAAAATCGAGACTTGTACGTCAGTCTAATGTGAAGCACGAGCATGACTATATACATCTCTTAATTTTGTATTTCATTTAATTTTATTATTATGTGTGATTTTTATTTATGTTTATTTTATTTTTATAATATTTTTCTAATATTATTATTTGTTATTGCAATAGCGTAATTTTATTTTCCTTAAGATTATAGTATAAGTTTTTTATTATATTTTACTTTAATATTCTATTAGGGTTGTTTATATTTATCATTAGTGTTATTTTTATTTATTTTATATTTATTTGAAGATTATAATATCAATATATAGTTTATTACATTTATAATATTAATCAACATTTTATTATTATTTTACTTCTATCAAGAGATAATTATTATTTACTACGTATAATTTGAGTTTTAATATAAATTTAAGTTTAATTCCTGATATTTTAATTTTTACATAAATTTAATTTATTTTGATTAAAATAATATTTTTTACACCATTTAAATAATATGTTTATATATCTCTTTTGACGAATTTAAAAAAAAAAAAACCTTATATTTTAAAATAGTATTTTGATTTTGTATAATATTAATTTGGTTATTTTATAATATTATAATAATTAATTAGTATGTGTGCTTTTTATTATGCTCATTTTTATTATAATAATAAAATGTAATTCTATTTTAATTTTAATTTTGCCTTTAATAAATTAAAGAATATTTTAATAAAAGAAATAAACAAAAAAGATTTTGATTTTATAATTATTAATAAAAAAATATTGATTGACTATAAAATGAAAAACAAATCAAACATAGGATCAATTTCTATACGAGGACGACTTCAAAATTGGCTACTCTAACTAGTCTCATTTTTTTGTCCTTTTCAAACTAATCTTAGATTGCTTCAATAAATATCTTGAAGGCATTCATATTTGTTTTGATGGACTCCACTAGTGTTGGAAAAAAAATTTGGATACTTTAAATCTCAATTATTTTAGAAATCAAACTTTTACATCTGCTTTTGCCTTCCAGATTCTATTCTTATAACTCTTCTTATTGAATATCTTAACAAGCTTGTGTTTTTAAATCCTGCTTCCACAATACCCAAAAACAAAAACAATTATTTTGCAGCAATCTTGATGTGACAAAAGAGTCGTATGCACCATTAATACTGTTCGACGGGTAAGATTTTATTTAAACATTTCATTTCTTAAACAAGTACAAATTTATGGACAAAATAGTTTATACTCTTTAGTATAGGAATTTTTTTTTTTTTTTTTTTTTTGAGATTGTAGTTGTAGTTGAGATTTTGGCTTAATTTTTTTTTTTTTTTGTCTTTCACGTTTTTACAATTTTGTGAATTTGTTATCAATTTATCATATTACATATTTTGTTACTCAATTTTTAAAATTATTCATATTTTGTCAACTTTGTTAACTAATTGACTAATATTATTAAATAAATATCGATGTAACATATTGATTATTGACTGAAATATTAATCATATGACATGTTAAATATTGAAATAAATTCATAATGTGATGTCAAAATGATAATGTGGCATAGGTGTAATATTAATGATTAAGTATTACATCAATAATTAACTAGTGGCATCAAATAAACAACTAATAAATTGATAAAATAAAAAAAATGAAAATTTGATAATTAAATGACAAAATGTACAATTGCAAAAAATTGAATAACAGAACTTACAAAATTTTGAAATGTGTGTACATGCGTATAAACATAAGTACTTGTGTTTTATTTAGCTTTTTTCTTTTTTATTTTTCATATATTCTAGTTTATCAAATATATTCAATTATTTTAGAGACAATGCATTCGATAAATATAAATCAAAGATATAAGAAAAAAAAACCAATTGCCCGATCTTAATAAAGAAAAAGTTATAAGATTTATAAAAATAGAAGAAAAAAAATCAAAAGATATAATAGAAGAAAAGCCTTGTTGTTGAGTCTACAAATCTATCAAGTCTTATTAACTTGTAGTATAGTATGTTGGAAAAGATAACAAATAATAGTAATTATGTGGAAACAAAACTGGATCTTTCTTCTTCTTTTTTTTTGTATAAATATCAATAGGTTCTAGAAGTAGCAAGATAATTTTAACAGAATGTACAAAATAAAAAAAATAGAAATCAACACAAAATTCTAACGTGGGAAAAAAAACTTCAATATGAGATAAAAACTCACGGACCTAGTCCAACAAAATCTTCACTAACAATAATTAATGAGTGTAACAGCCCATTTTTTGTGGGCCTTTGGCCCAATTCGTGTGTGCTGGTTAGGTGAAGAATGTGAGGTTGGTGGGTGTTGTGTCTTAATTCCTCTGGCATTGGAATAATTTTTTTTTTTTTTTAGTAAACATCCACTTAAAACTTTTTAATCTGCAGAATTAATATTCTAAAAAATTAATATGCCCTTAAATACCAATATTCTAAAGAATTAATATGCAGAATTTTTTTGAAAACTAAAATAAAATTAAAAAATGTCTAAATATATTTTTAATAAAAATTTTCTATTTCTAATTCTTAAACTGACGTGTTAATTTTTTTTGAAGAGATTAAAGTCGTACTCATTAGTCAAAGATGGCGGCTTTTCAATAATGCACGTTTTAACAAAAATCGAGACTTGTACGTCAGTCTAATGTGAAGCACGAGCATGACTATATACATCTCTTAATTTTGTATTTCATTTAATTTTATTATTATGTGTGATTTTTATTTATGTTTATTTTATTTTTATAATATTTTTCTAATATTATTATTTGTTATTGCAATAGCGTAATTTTATTTTCCTTAAGATTATAGTATAAGTTTTTTATTATATTTTACTTTAATATTCTATTAGGGTTGTTTATATTTATCATTAGTGTTATTTTTATTTATTTTATATTTATTTGAAGATTATAATATCAATATATAGTTTATTACATTTATAATATTAATCAACATTTTATTATTATTTTACTTCTATCAAGAGATAATTATTATTTACTACGTATAAT